ACAAAGATCCATAACCACACAATCTAAAATGGATGATTTATATAATGCAATACAGGATGGATATAATATAGATATGTATTATTTACATAGACATTGAAAAGCATCTGATACTAGCAATAATATTCTTTTATATAAGATAGAAAATGCAGGGTTAGGTGGAAATTATGCATTTCTTAAAAACTACATATTAGATAAAAAATTTCAAAATTAAGATTGGTGACAATCATCTCACAATTATGAAACATTCTCAAGTGTACTTCAAGGAAGTGTCCTAGGACCACTTTATTTCTTATTTTTATAAATGATCTTCCTGATGAAATCCCTGAAAATGTTGGGTGCGACCGATGTTTTCAGATGCGACCCGGGCCGGGCTTTCGGGCTAGAAACTACCAAAACCCCAAAACCCGGATATCATCAAAATACCTGGTTTCCGGGATACCGGGCACGGAAAACCCGGTCGCAGGCCCGGGTCTTAACTATAATAGTAACTATTGTCAGTAATTCCTATTAGGTTAGAATTCTCACCTGAATAAACCCATAATGTTAATATTTCCGATTTTTACTGTAATCCGAAATGTTGATATTAGGAAAAGAATTTGAGCATATGTAGTATGTTTATTTTTCTTTTTGAATAAGATCAAATATTTTATTGATGAGTTTTGGAAAAAATCAAATTTTTTAAATACTTTCAAATATCAAATAGTTTGATTTGATATTTGATTTTACTGTTTGTTCGATCTCTATCATTAAGTGCGACTGGACTCATAAACTGAAGTAGGGCCAAAAATATTATAAAGTCATTTATAAACTCTTTTCTAAAATTGTGATAATGTTGAATATATAAACATATTTTATTTTATAATGATTATTGCTATGTAAATATATTATTTAAATATTTTAGATATACACTCTGCGTCAAAAATGGTTGGCCACCTAGTTTTTCCGAAATATTTTTTTCCAACTCTGAGATAGGGCGTTTGTTCTGGGAGATAAAATGTTTATACCTATCAAATTTATCTATTTACCAAAAATCTTATTATTTGATAATAGACGGGTCCGTCAAAAAGAGAATAACTTAAAAACGGGTGCGTCAAAATAAGTTGGCCACTTGTATTTTCGACCTTTAGGAGTGGTCCGAAAAATCTACAAAAATTCCTGTAAACATATCCATTGATATGTAAGAAAATACAAAAGAAATGAAGTTCGGATATAATTCCTTCATTGAGATCTGAAAACCCGAAAATCAACGGAAAACAGAGGTACAGTACTTCAAAAAATATTTTCGACCCCTTAGGGTATGTGTAAAATTTTTATTTTATACTCGACAAATAGCCAATAAAATTTGCTATAAGATACAATAGGACCTATCCTTCTAAAAAATTTGTCCGGATCAGCGTTCAGGCTAGAATAACTGCTGCCGAGAAATAGTCTAAAAATGCACTATCTTTAGCTATCTTTTTTTCTAGCCTGAACGTTGATCCGGACAAATTTTTTAGAAGGATGGGTCCTTCTGTATCTTATAGCAAATTTTACTGGCTATTTGTCGAGTATAAAATAAAAATTTTACACATACCCTAAGGGGTCGAAAATATTTTTTGAAGTACTGTACCTCTGTTTTCCGTTGATTTTCGGGTTTTCAGATCTCAATGAAGGAATTATATCCGAACTTCATTTCTTTTGTATTTTCTTACATATCAATGGATATGTTTACAGGAATTTTTGTAGATTTTTCGGACCACTCCTAAAGGTCGAAAATACAAGTGGCCAAATACAATCTACAAAAATTCCTGTAAACATATCCATTGATATGTAAGAAAATACAAAAGAAATGAAGTTCGGATATAATTCCTTCATTGAGATTTTTGACGCACCCGTTTTTAAGTTATTCTCTTTTTGACGGACCCGTCTATTATCAAATAATAAGATTTTTGGAAAATAGATAAATTTGATAGGTATAAACATTTTATCTCCCAGACAAACGCCCTATCTCAGATTTGGAAAAAAATATTTCGGAAAAACTAGGTGGCCAACCATTTTTGACGCAGAGTAAATTTTGCTATATATTTTCTTTTCAAAATTACTTTCTATTTCGCAATATTATTCGACAGTTGTAATGATGAAGCTTTACGGAAAACCCTTTAATTTTTTCACTAGAAGGTGGATGTAGAGGATCAACTGGTAATACTTGAAAATGACGAAAGAAATTTGCAGTAAAAAGAAATAATTCTGTTTTGGCTAATGATTCTCCCATACAAATTCTGTTAAAAATAATAATTTATATTTTTAGAAAAATAATTAATTAATTACCTCTTCCCTAAACTAAAAGGAATAAATTCTTCAATACGTTTTAATTGACCTTGATCATCCAAAAATCTTTCTGGTTCGAAGCGGTGAGGATTAGGGAAGATCTGAAAATATGGAAATAAAAATGTGATTTTATTTTTGAGAGCCTAAAATTATATATCAGTCCCATTAAAATTTATTTGTCCGTAATAATTAAAATTATTTGCATCTATAGTTAGAATAATTTACTAAAATAATATATTGAAGTAAGAGGTTTGTAGTTTATCCATCGGGCAGGAATAAACCTGATATTCTGAAATACTTGAATGCTGTTGCAAGTGACAAAAACGTTAGAAATCGGTAATGTAGAAAATCGAAATTCCGACCGATTTTGCCTAAGTGCTTTAAATGCTGGATATGTACATATATATTGTTTTTATAATCTTAACGATCATCATAAATATTGTTAAATTATTTTTAATATCTTTTATTATACGCATTCACTTTTTCATCGAATAACACACAACAAATTTGTGGAATAATTGATGTGCCCTTTTTAATATGAAATTTCCCTCCTAAAATTTTAGCATCAGCCATAGTTCGGTGTGTAAGATTTAACGGAAGTAAATTACAAACACGTTGTGTTTCCTAAAAATTATATTATTTGAATTAAAATTTATTTTCCCTACATTAATAACAGCATTTAAAAAAGGTAATTTTCCTCTATCAGCTTGTGTAACAGAATTATCAAATCCATTACGGCCCTTTTCCTCCTCCAAACGATCTAATTCTTCATGCATTTTTGATTGAACTCTTTGGTCAAGTATTAAATATAAAATTAAATAACTCAACGTAGTTGATGTTGTTTCTTGACCAGCCAAAAATAAATCAAAACAAAAGGGTGTTATAGTCTTCAAACTTTAAAATTAAAAATAATTATATGTATACATTGAGGACAAGTTAAAAAATTTTATGGAAAATCATGACGTTGATATCCCGGTACCAAGCAATTAAGCATAGTATCGTTCCAGCTTCTGCCGGCTCAGAAGCTCTTATATTTCACGACTGGGCTTCCTCTTTCAGCGCTGCAGGCGAAAATTTTGCGATTATGGCAGGCTAATAAGCTCTATATCTTTCTATTTCAGGAGAAAATTTTGAAAATTTGAGAAGGCCAAAGAGACAGATTTCTTCCATTTTTCCTTATTCATGAATCCGAAACGAAAATTTCGGATCCGTCAACTTTACTCCTGATTTGTGAGAGTATATTTCGCAACCCTCCTCCAAAGTGGAGTATAATTTAAGGGGGAGTACTAATTATAGAGATGGGTGTTCTATTTTAGGAACTACTGTAAATTATTATTAATTAGAAATTACCTAAAATATTCACTTTTCTCTACTTCTATCTGATCAAGAAAACAATCAAGTAAATCATTAGGTTCTCCTCTCTCCTCAGGCGTTTGTTTCTCCCTTTCAGAAATTCTTTTATTTATCGGTCTTTTAATGAATTCATAGACATCTGACAGATTATTGTCCAATTTATTAAATGATTGCGAAAATATAGGGAAATAACGAATCCAAGGCATTACCATTAACATACGGCCAGTTATTGATGAAAGCAAGAAAGCCTGTTCTTCCATACGTTTTTTTAATTCGTAGAAGTCAGACATATGTTCCTTTAAATTAATAGTAAATTATAATTCTCGCTGGTAATAAATTTTTTTGAACAGGGATGGATACAACTGAATCTTTGTAGCTGATCCACAATTCTTGGGGTTCATAGTTTTCGCAATTAAAAATTGTTCCCATACTTAATTTTGAAACAGAAAAATTACTAAAAATTACATCTTCGAATGGATATCCAAATATAACTCGATTTACTGTAGTCCCAGCTAAACGATCTATTTTACTTTGAAGATTGACATTATAGCCCCCATTTTTGGATATTTCCTCTTTAATTTGTTCAATAAATCTTTCCATATCTTCAAGTAAATGCTTTTCAAGTCCAGCCCTTCCTACACCCAAATTACGCATTGACTGTAGCCCGAATCGACGCACAACCTTCCATGGATCTCCTTCTGTACGTAAAACACCGCCATAATCGTCCTTTACGGCTGAAAAATTATGTATTAGAAAAATTTTAGTAGATAAACTCAACCCTAACCTCAACCCAATTGCAAATGCATAAATTTTTCGTTGGACTGTATTTTGGTAAGGACTGTATTTTGGTCTGACTATTGGAAGACTATGTTTTGCCCCTCACCCACTTTGCGGTCCTTTTAGAATGGCATAAGACCTGTAACAACATCCACATTTAACCATTATAATCACTGCGTTGTTTTATAAGTGGATTTATTTATGGGCACAAAAAGTACGTAAGCCAAAAGGTTTTCAACTGATTTTCAAATTGCCAGTGCTTAGAAATTTCGATTTTGCTCATACTCGTTTAGGCAGTGTCCTTGCTCTTTTTTGCCTATAGGTCAATGAATATACCTGAAAACTTTTTAAAAAGATCGTCCATGAAGTTCCGACCAGCAAAGACTTCACCTTCCTTGATAAAAAGGTCACGCATGATCTCATAGTCAGTAACAATAACAGTTGGATCTTCTCCAATCCAAATGGTATAAACTGGGCCATATTCTTTTGCCCAAGTTTGGAATTTCTCATAAATTGATCTTAATGTTAATTTTAAAATAACTTTTTTGGAAGATTTAAGAAAATAGGAGTGATTCGAAGGAGTTCAACGAGCTGAGTTGAACGACATTAAAATTAGCCCTAGTCTCAATTATGGGCCGAGATATACATATGTTGTCGAACTTTGAAAAACCAAAGAGGGATAATCCAACATCATACACTCCGCCACATAATTATATGAACACCCCTAAATATCACTTTTTACCGTATTCATATGTCGAAATATTTTTTTAACTTTAATATATTTTAGAAATCGGCTAAAATGGCCCTAGAAAAAAGAAAATCTGAAAATCGCTTCAGGGTAAAATTTTTTAGAAAATTTTCAAATTTTCGACCGCCACATAATTATATGAACACTTTGGGTTTCTTTATTTCTAAGTGCAGGAAAAATCTAGAAAAATTCCAATAAACTTATCTATCGATACTAAGGTTAATTAAAAAAGAACTAAGCCTATAACTGTTTTAAGTGTCGAGATCTAGAATCCCGAAAATCAACGTAAAACAGGGGTAAGCTGCTTCGAAAAATTTTTTCGACCCCTTATGGATTATTTTAAATTTTTATTTTAGGCTTATCTGAAAGCCCTTGAAATTTGCTACAAGATAGCAATTATCTTATTTTCCAGAAAAAATATTCTGGCATATTATTAACTGTTAAATCTTTCATTCTCAAAAAAAGACTAATTGCCCCAAAAAATGCCCTATAAGATCGTTACGGAAGAATGAAGGTAAATATCTCTTAATTGTATTTTTTCTGAAAAATAAGATTTTAGGTATCTTGTAGCAAATTTCAAGGGCTTTCAGATAGGCCTAAAATAAAAATTTAAAATAATCCATAAGGGGTCGAAAAAATTTTCGAAGCAGCTTACCCCTGTTTTACGTTGATTTTCTGGATTCGAGATCTCGACACTTAAAACAGTTATAGGCTTAGTTCTTTTTTAATTAACCTTAGTATCAATAGATAAGTTTATTGGAATTTTTCTAGATTTTTCCTGCACTTAGAAATACAGAAACCCAAAGTGTTCATATAATTATGTGGCGGTCAAAAATTTGAAAATTTTCTAAAAAATTTTACCCTGAAGCGATTTTCAGATTTTCTTTTTTCTAGGGCCATTTTAGCCGATTTCTAAAATATATTAAAGTTAAAAAAATATTTCGACATATGAATACGGTAAAAAGTGATATTTAGGGGTGTTCATATAATTATGTGGCGGAGTGTATGTATGTATGGTAAAAAATTCGATTATATGTATCAATGAAAGCTCAGGAAGAGCTCGTCGATCTAAGTCAAATGACACAAAATCAGCTTGATTCGAAGATTTTTAACATAATTCCAAACAACTGATAATTACGAACGTTAACCAACTTATTTATCGAAAATGCATTTCCAAAAATAGGCAATGGAATCGGTCCAGGGGGTAATCCTTTTCGCTTCCAAACAAAATTCCAAAATAAAAGAGTTGTAAAGAAAAGGAAAAATAAAAGTAAAAACATTTATTTTTTGATTAAAAAAATATTTTATATATTATTTTAAATACTTTAAGGGAACGGAAAATTTAATTATTTTATATACACAAGATAATATTAATAAAATTAAAAAATAAAAGTATGATTTTGTTATCTTTTTTTGACAAAATATAGTTTGTATTAAATACTTTGTGAAATTAAAGATTTAATAATGAAAACCCATCAAATTTATTTATTTATTTTTCCTTTTTTACTTTTAAACAAACGAAAATGGAAAAGAATTAAAATAATTGAAAATTAAATCAGACAGACACAAAAAAGTTACAATTTGAAATAAAAAAGACGATAATATTCTGAAAAAGAATAATTCCAAGTAACCAACTTTCCGGGATTCATAGAAATAATCCGGCATCGGTTCTGTTATTGGCACATCTTGGTTTGTGCTCATTCCTCAATTCTCCAATTTTCAACAAAAAAGACATACATCAGTATCTGGGATCGCGTACCACAATTCCCTAATGTGATCACTTATATGTGTGTAATATGTACTATCTGACAAGGTTATGTAAACATTTTATTTTGATTAATTAAATTTACAATAATTGTTAGATTTTTTGTGATCTAAATTAGGGGTAAATCATCTAAATCAGGGTCGGATCGGAAAAATGTTTAGTTCAAGTACAAAAAGTTTAATTTGGAAGTACTACATAGTAGGATAATTTTCAAAATATAAGTACACTACAAGTAAGTATGTAGGTACTCGAAAATATGTAAATACGAATATGAACTCTGAATAAGGGTGGCCTTTTTACCCTATTTATAGAGGATTTTCCCTATTTTTGATCTTTTCGCCCTATTTTTCCCTATTTTGTACATTTGCCATATTTTGCCCTATTTTTATCAATTTTTAAAATTTCAAGATGGCGACAGTCATCTTGACGTGTTCGTGGTCGACGACCGTGGTCGTGGTCTACGACAGTCATCTTGACGTGTTCGACGACAGAGGTCGTGGTCGGCGACAGTCATCTTGACGTGGTCGACGAACGTGGTCGTGGTCGACGACAGTCATCTTGACGTGGTCGTGGTCGGCGACCGTGGTCGTGGTCAACGACGGTCATCTTGACGTGGTCGACAACCGTGGTCGTGGTCAACGACGGTCGTCTTGACGTGGTCGTGGTCGACGACCGTGGTTGTGGTCAACGTCGACATCTTGACGTGGTCGACGACCGAGGTCGTGGTCGGCGACAGTCATCTTGACGTGGTCGTGGTCTACAACCGTGGTCGTGGTCGAAGACAGTCATCTTGACGTGGTTGTGGTCGTCGACAGACATCTTGACGTGGTCTTGGTCGGCGACAGTCATCTTGCGTTGTCGTGGTTGTCGACAGTCATCTTGACGTGGTCGTGGTCGAAGATTATCTTGACGTGGTCGTGGTCGACGACAGTCGTCTTGACGTGGTCGTGGTCGACGACCGTGGTCGTGGTCGTCGACAGTCATCTTGACGTGGTCGACGACAGTCATCTTGACGTGGTCGTGGTCGAAGACAGTTATCTTGACGTGGTCGTGGTCTACGACAGTCGTCTTGACGTGGTCGTGGTCGACGACCGAGGTCGTGGTCGGCGACAGTCATCTTGACGTGGTCGTGGTCGAAGACAGTTATCTTGACGTGGTCGTGGTCTACGACAGTCGTCTTGACGTGGTCGTGGTCGACGACCGTGGTCGTGGTCAACGACGGTCATCTTGACGTGGTCGTGGTCGGCGACAGTCATCTTGACGTGGTCGTGGTCGACGACAGTCATCTTGACGTGGTAAAAATCGACTGATATCCCTCCAAATCAACTTTTATCCATCTTAACCCAACCAAATAACCTTATATATCTGTTAATCCAGCCAAACCCGAGATATCGGCCTTAATCCCAACAAATCCTTCTATATCTCTTTTAATCCCACAAAATTCCTTTTTAAATACTCCTAATCTCTAAATAGCCCATCTTTAGTCTTTTTATATCATTCTTTATCTCTTTACACATCACTTTTAATCACTTTATATCATCACTGACCGATTGTCCACTGACGCATTTTCCACTCACGCATTGTCCACTGACGCATTGTCCGGACACGCCGCCGAGGCCTGGGTGTCCCTTTTGCCTTATTTACAGGGCATTTGCCCTATTTTTGGTCTTTTCGCCCTATTTTTTCCCTATTTTGTACATTTACAATATTTTGCCCTATTTTTATCAATTTTTAAAGTTTTTCAAATTTTCTGGCATTATTTGAATAAAATGCGAAAATCAATGAAATCTGACTTTATAATCCCAAAATTTTCACCTGCGGTGCTAAAAAACGAAAAAATCTGCTTCTTAACTTTATAGATTCTCAAAATTTTCGCCCGCGGCACTGAAAAAGAGACTGTCGGTTTATTATCTTATTATGGAATAATTTCGGAATACTAAACAGACTCCGATTGGGACAAATTATATGTCATTCGACTCAGCTCGGCGAGCTGAGTCGAATGACATCAAAAAATCGATTCGGACGTAACTATGGGCCGAGATACAGGGCTCGAAATGGTCAAAAACCATAGGGGGGACGAAGCACTTTTTTGGGGTGAAAAATTCGAATAAACAATTAATAGCTCATTTGAAAGAGCTCTTCAAGCTGAGTCGAATGACACCAAAATCTCCGTGATTGGTCAAGTTTTTTCGAAGTTATGACAGAAAAAACAAACAACGTAAACCTATGGAGCGTCGGCGAGGCGCTTGTGCAAAACCCCGCGCTTCGCGCGGGGTTTTGCGGCACGCGCCTCGCGGGAAGTCTACGGGCGCTGGGTCTGGGCTCGTAACTTAATCCTATTCCAATTATCGCTGTGATGGGCATGCCCGGCTTCCTCCGCAGCAGCAAGAACATCCACGGAGAACAAATGTAAGGAGCTAAAACAAACGATTGTAACTTTGTCAAATCAAGTCGGATTTTGCCGATTTTGGTCTCATTCGACTCAGCTCGAGGAGCTCTTTCGAATGAGCTATTATTTGCATATTCGAATTTTTCACCCCAAAAAAGTGCTTGGTCCCCCCTATGGTTTTTGACCATTTCGAACCCTGTATCTCGGCCCATGGTTACGTCCCAATCGATTTTTTGATGTCATTCGACTCAGCTCGACGAGCTGAGTCGAATGACATATAATTTGTCTCAATCGGAGTCTGTTTAGTTTTCCGAAATTATACCCTTATTATATAATTGAGAAGAGTTTGTCCGTTTGTTTGTTTGTCTGTCTGTCCTTTTATAGACAAGTGGGTTTTTATAGTAAAATGATTTGGGGGAGTGAGGAAAAGGGGGGTTTTTATAGTAAATCGTTGCCAGTTGAATTAGGTTGTAAGGGTAAGAAAATGGTATAAAAGCAGGGTATTTTGGTCAGTCTTCAACTTCTCAACATTGCTGTGCTCTTCTACGTCAACGTTTGCTGGAGTCCTGTGTCCTCTTGAGTGTTGGGCGTCAACGTTCATTTGTCAAGTGCTAGACGCAACGTTCATCTGTCAAGTTCTAGGCGTCAACGTTCATTTGTCAAGTGCTAGGCGTCAACGTTCATCTGTCAAGTTCTAGGCGTCAACGTTCATTTGTCAAGTGCTAGGCGTCAACGTTCATTTGAAGTGCTAGACGTCAACGTTCATGTGTCAAGTTCTAGGCGTCAACGTTCATTTGTCAAGTGCTAGGCGTCAACGTTCATTTGAAGTGCTAGACGTCAACGTTCATGTGTCAAGTTCTAGGCGTCAACGTTCATTTGTCAAGTGCTAGGCGTCAACGTTCATTTGAAGTGCTAGACGTCAACGTTCATGTGTCAAGTTCTAGGCGTCAACGTTCATTTGTCAAGTGCTAGGCGTCAACGTTCATTTGAAGTGCTAGACGTCAACGTTCATTTGAAGTGCTAGACGTCAACGTTCATTTGAAGTACTAATCGTCAACGTTCATTTGAAGTGCTAGACGTCAACGTTCATTTGTCACAAGTGCTAGGCGTCAACGTTCATCTGTCAAGTTCTAGGCGTCAACGTTCATTTGTCAAGTGCTAGGCGTCAACGTTCATTTGAAGTGCTAGACGTCAACGTTCATGTGTCAAGTTCTAGGCGTCAACGTTCATTTGTCAAGTGCTAGGCGTCAACGTTCATTTGAAGTGCTAGACGTCAACGTTTATTTGAAGTGCTAGACGTCAACGTTCATTTGAAGTACTAACCGTCAACGTTCATTTGAAGTGCTAGACGTCAACGTTCATTTGTCACAAGTGCTAGGCGTCAACGTTCATCTGTCAAGTTCTAGGCGTCAACGTTCATTTGTCAAGTGCTAGGCGTCAACGTTCATTTGAAGTGCTAGACGTCAACGTGCATGTGTCAAGTTCTAGGCGTCAACGTTCATTTCAGGGATAGGCGAAATCGAAAAATAAAAAGCAAAATGCGAAATGCGAAACTTTTTTTAAAAAAATAAAATGCGAAATGCGGAATGCGAAACTTTTCGCGCCAAAAAATGCGAAAAATGCGAAAGATGCGAAATGCGAAAATGCGAAATTATTTAAAATTCAAAAAATTTTATTCATATTCAAAATTATAAATTACGAGATTATGATGCAAAAATAAAAGCATTTCTGCATTTTCTTGAATAAGACGTTTCCTCAGATTATTTATTATTAATCCTGCACTACTAAACAAGCTTTCTGCTTCAGCTGATGTACAAGGTGCTGATAGAAAGCGCGTTGCAATTTTGGATAAAATTGGCCATTTAACTGTATTGTCACCAGTCCAAAATCCATAAGGATCACATTCAATCGGAATCTTTTTTGCACGCAAATATTCTGTCACCTCAACCTTAAATATTGATTTAAAACAATAAGCAG